ATGATTCATACCTCGTCGTTCGCGAACAGCTTTACTCGGCTCGTTCGTTAAGAAACGAACACAAATAGTGACTTTACGAACAATTTTGAACACAAGCTTATTTCAAACAAACTAAATTTAAAACGAACCAAACATGAACACAAGATTTGTTTGTTCGTGTTCGGTTCGTTTACACCCCTAACTGTCATGGTTGGGCTTGCTTTCTCCATGTCTATTTTACCTATGAAAAGCTTACCCAAACAAATTTGTGTAATGGTAATAAGTTCTAATGTTAAGAATTAGCAACTTATCATATGCCATCTTTTACATATATTTATATGTCCTCTTTTGCTTCATATTTATAATAATAACATAAAATGTAAATAATCAAAATAAACATAACCAACTTAAGGTTTCATTTTTTGTATCATATACATTAATTCAAGTGGTTGCATGTGTGCTATAGGAGCTAATGATGTTGCATTAGTTATCAGCTTGACTTTTCTGAGCACCTTAAGAATCGTTGCAATCTCTCCTTTGGCGCCAATCCATTGGAAGATAGCTTTTTCAACACCCTCTTCCACGTGGCATTGTACCGAGAACTCAGCATTTTATACTTATTGGCTTACTAATATCTCCCTAGTGAACTTGCTTTCTAGAGTTTCATCTTTATGGTGTTTTATTGTATTGCTGCATTTAATAATTTGTTGCATTGATCCCTTTTATTGGAAAAATTATTGTATACGGACACCGCATGCAGAGATGCATGCGGTGTTTGATCTACATCGTAGATCACAGTGATCTACGGTGATTATGTATTTTAGTGGAACCCACTTAATTTAAAAAAAAAAATGATTGCATCCTTACCGTAGATCACCGTGATCTACGGTGTAGATCGGACACCGCATGCATCTCTGCATGCGGTGTCCATATGCAATAATTTTTCCTTTTATTGGGTGCATTCTAGGATCCTCTCCTTTTAAATACCTTTGCTCGAATCTCTTCTCAGTATTATACAACAACTCGTCATCATAAAGCAGTCATCTACTCCAATTCTTTCTTGATGCTTGTCGATATGTCATCATTATTGAGCTACAACTTCAGGATAAAGTGTTTAATTCTTTTTCAATAGCTTCCTTTCCCCATCTTTTAGTATGCTCAACAACTGAACGATATGACTTCCTTTTTGAAAGTTTAGGTAATAATTTAACGTCTTAGAGCCATAAATTAGCTAATTTCTCAATAGGCAAAGTATTGACTTCTCTCTTAATAAGCAATCTATTTTTTGTACCTACTTGAAAAGGCATAGACATCTTTTTTTAACACATTTTCTAACTTTTCTCATAGGTTAGTTATCAGTTTTTATAGACTCCTTGCATGCTGACTAAGGGTGTGTTCGGAGAAAAGCTACGTCTGTTGTCCGGATGTAGCTTGCATCTGAACTCCGAACTCAATATTTTCTTCGTGTTTGGGAGGGCTTTTTACATGCTTTCATTTGGAAATGCACTTAAAGGAGCTTTTGGAAGCTTGCTTTTTTGGTGCTTTCATGAGATGTCGTTACCAAAACAAGGAAGCTATGAACATCAGTGCAAAGCTCGCTTCTACGGAACACATTACGGTATGGATGGAAAATGACCTTACTGCCCCCTCATCTTTTCAAAAAATCCATCTTGTTTTCCGCGATATTGCCCGTGGTCGTGGTTTTGGTTGTGGTTTTGCATGGATGGCTATGGTTGGATATGTATATAAAAAAACATACATAATAAGACACAGAATCACATGACCACACAATGTGTTACAATCTAAACTTAGATATAATTATATATAATATATTATTATAAATAATATATGTAATATATTATTATATAAATAATTATATAATATTTCTATTTTGAGCTAAAACGAGCCAAATACGAGCGAACAAAGAGTTATTCGTGTTTGGTTCGTTTATAATTCGAGCTTTAAAAACTTATTTGTATTCGGCTCGTTTACTTAATGAATGAGCTGAACACGAACTACTTAACGAGTCGAACACGAGCTATTCGCGAACAACGAGCTTCTTTTAGAGCCCTGCTTCCGGAAGCAACGGCCAACACTCATGAAATGTAAAAATTGCTGCAGCTAGCTTTCCATACCCACATGGCTCAAAAGTGCTTATTTTATATTTATATTTACATATGTAATACTTTACATGCAACCGCACAAATTAAGTCTTTTCTGGCCCATTTACATATATACCACCAAAATTATATATGTTTACATATCTAACACCTAAATTTATTTATTTTTATATAATTACAACATCTTAATATTTTAGCATTATCTAATAGATTTAAAAATTAATAAAAAAGGTATAAACAAATATTATTATATACTTATTTAATTATTGCACGCCGAACATGAGCAAATAAACATTCATTTGTGTTCGACTTATTTATAAATCGAGCTAAAACAAGTGTTCATGTTTGGTTAATTTGCTTAAAAAATGAGTCGAACACGAATCATTTAATGAGCCGAACAAAAGCTATTCTCAAATGCTGAGTTTTTTTTGACAGCCTTAGCTAAAACACAACAGAT